AGCTCCCGGCAGGCGGGTCTGCCCCCAGCTCCCCACGCCCTCCAGCTCCGCCCTGTCCTGGGCCCAGGGAAACCTCTGGGCATTCGTCCTTGGCTCTCTTCACTGTGTCCGTGGGCCGGGGGCTGCCAGCAGTGGCTCCAGGAAGGGGGCGGCTTTCGGTGGCACGTGCACCGAACACAGTCCCAACTCTGCCCCTAGCTTTCTGGACGGTGGGGACTTTTGAGGAAGTTGGGCTTCCATTTTAAGACCTTCTTCGGGGACCCTGAGCCCCAAAAGGTGTCCCTGACAATAGAAGAACAGGACCCCGTGCTGTGGAGAAGGTTGGACGCGTGCAGGGATGGCTGACACCAGAGGCCTAACCCTTTCTCTGTGACTCCATCTTCCGTTTCCCTGTGTGCTCGTGCGACGGTTCTGGGAGCTCCAGGGACGGGACCATGCCCGTCCAGACGGCCATCTTTGGGCCAAAATCTCCACGTCTCCAGCCAAATCCCAAACTTACTCTAATGGCCCTGGCGAGGGACACAGGACACTGACCCAGTCCCCGGCCGGGAGAAGGCCATGTGCTGACTTAGGCCTGTGTCATATGCTTCACCTCCAGCTCTAAGGGCCTGGAAATGGGGAGGGCACCCCCCAGAACTCGGGCTGTTGCTGGCAGAAGGGAAGAAGGCTGCTGAGATGCATCTACCCCACGTTCACTGTGTGCCACACTCACTGTTTCACAGAGTCTCTCAGCCTTCCTGCCTGTGAGGAAGGTTTCCTTTTGTAGAAAAGGAAACCTGCTCAGAGAGGTTAAGCGATTGGCTCAAAGTCACAGAGCAAATTCCGCAGTTCCTTATGGCAGTGCAGCCCGCCTCGGGCAGAGGGAGGCGGGCTGTGTGCTGGTTCAAATGGGTGCTGTGGGGGAGGGGGAAACGTTCCTCGGCCCGCGGGTCTCATCACCAAACAGATGAACAAGAGAAAGTTCAATGCGTGCCCATGTAGGGGAACCCCACATACACCAGCGTCAGAGACCCTGAATTCGTGAGAGGCTCAGAGACAGAAGGAGCATGGGGGCATGTGACATCCTGAGTGGGGACGAGAAGGGCAGGTGCTCCGTAGCGGGCGGTTTTCTCTGCCCGGTACGTAAGGCGAGAGGCTATCTCTGAGGGTCTCGCATTCTGGGCACGGCCCCGGCTCAGGTTCAAGTTCTAGGTAGCTGGGGAGGGGCAGAAGGTTCTCGTAAAACAGAAGCTAAATTGCCCTTTGCTCAAAATACAACTGCCACGGGCACGCCTCGGGGTGAGTCTGTCTGACTCCCACAGCGGAAAAGGAGACAACAAGGAGGGCGAAGGAGGGATCCCACAGACAGACGGCAGCTGTGCCGGGGGCT